TAAAAAAAAAAAAATTACTTGAGGTCTTACATTCAACAAATGAGGTGTTGCAGCTTAGTCACGACATGAGTCCTGAGGGTCAACAGCGTGGGGTCGAACTAAAGGTAAAGTTCTAAAAGGTCAACAGCGTGGGGTGGGACTAAAGGTAAAGTTCTAAAAGGTCAACAGCGTGGGGTGGGACTAAAGGTAAAGTTCTAAAAGGTCAACAGCGTGGGGTCGAACTAAAGGTAAAGTTCTAAAAGGTCAACAGCGTGGGGTGGGACTAAAGGTAACGTTCTAAAAGGTCAACAGCGTGGGGTGGGACTAAAGGTAACGTTCTAAAAGGTCAACAGCGTGGGGTGGGACTAAAGGTAAAGTTCTAAAAGGTATGGCGGGGCGCCATTGGTGCAAATGGTGCAAGCGCTCCACCTAACCCTGGCCTTCACACCCCCCCCCCCCCCCCCCCCACTTCCCGTTTTTCGAATTGTTCTAAACCAGTCAGTGCTCTAATATAAATATACATTAGGCCTACTACGTTTTGCGATCCGTCACCCGCTGGCTGCGCCAGTGAAGAGACAGACGACGAGAATGGTTTATGGTCGTCGCACCGCTCGCGGTAGTGTCTGCTGGGAGCAAGCAAAATCTTTGCACCAAAGTTATTTTTGTCACTGTAGAGAAATCTAGGCATCGTTCTTCCCGCACAAGAAGAAAGGTGCATGAAACTGCTCTTCGCAGCACCAATTTGGTGCAAGCTAAAAATTTGATCCAAGTTTCCGCGAGCCTATCTACTACACTACATGTAGTAGAGTCTACGGTAACTCAATGAAGAATGGGTATCGAAACTGTTGCCTCCCTCTATTGTGTAGCAAGTCCTGGTTCCGCACGAAGTAATTAGAAATCTTTAAATCTTCTCAGACTGTGAGCATAGTGAGTTGTTAGTATTGTTTCACTTTATTGCAGCTTCTATGCGGTTTCACCTTGAAACAGTTGTAAATATCGATAGATCTAGATTACGGGATATCCTGCAGATTCTGATTGACTTTCTCTAGAAATGTTAATAGTAGCTACTAAGCCTATTGCCTATTTGCTCATTTTCCAATTCTGCACCACCTTGTCTGCAACCCACGCGACGCCACTGAAAAGGTCGGCAACTTGGGGTGGGAGCTAAGTCAAGTCATGAGTCCTAAGGGTAAAGAGCGTCGGTTTGAAGCAAAGTAAAAAATGAGACAACAACGTGAGGTCGGACTTCAGGTAACATTCTAAATCCTCAACAACGAAGGGTTGGAGCAAAGTCAAGACAACAGTCCTGAGGGCCAACAACACAGGGTCGGACTAAAGGTAAAGTTTTAATAATAAATGCTCAACAGCAATGAGTTGAGGCTAAGTCAATGAGCCCTACAAAAGGGTCCTCAAGAGGATCGGAGCTAAGTCAAGAAGTCCGAAAGGGTAAAAAACATTGGGTCGGAGCCAAGACACAGTCGGAGTAAGTAGATCTACCACAGAAGGTCAAAGGCCAAACTAAGGGCTGGCAGTGCTTATTAATTTGTTTTGGATCAAATGAGTAACATTATTCACGGCACCAACAAACTGCAAGGAACATTACAGAATACAAAACCCACCCCAACTATCTCACAAGCTAAAAATCTGCAGGCAGCTCTTCCCACTTCCTTCCATCCCCACCATCCACCCTCCAAAAAAAAAAGAACCTTGGAAAACCTACACTGCCCCCTCAACTACCTCCCGCCATGGCCATAGCAATACATGTACTATCTACAAAATCCTACTCTGAACCTAACCTATCCACCTTGTTTCCTATCAAGCTATCTGCCTATCTCTATAGCCCCACTGCGTCACTTTAGGCCTGAGCTCGCGGTCAACGAGGCGCCCACTCTGTGGGAAGGGAGACCTCTTTTTTTTGCTGCACATGAGGTCAGCGGTGGGAGAAAAGATAGTTTTAGTAGAGATTTTACGGCGCTCGTAACTGCATATTAATAAGGTCATATGAGCGCCAGAAGATTAGAGGTGTTACAAGAGAGTAACAAACATAAAAAGGAGGGGAGATAAGGACGATAGATTTTTTACAGGAAAGAAGAAGCAAACCACACCAGAGCACCCGCCAACCACCCACGGAGAAAAGATAGGAGAAGAAAGAAAGACAGAAGGAGAAGAGGAAGACACACCAAAGTAGGTGTTGTATCCGGATCCCAGAGAGTTGGGGTCCGTGTGCGACACCGCGTTATTGAAGGGGTTACACCACCTACAGACGGGGTAGACAAAAATATTCAATCTAAATGGTGAAATGGTATGAGTTTAACGCCCCTATCAACATTATTAGGGTATTTAAGAGGCGGGACCTCCTAATTTTACGTCCGTCTCTGATAGGACAGAGCCAAGTGGGAAGTTCGTGTAAAGTGCCTTTCCCAAGGACACAACGTCAGACCGAGCTGAGGCTCGAACGTCCGAACCCGCAATCTCATGATTACGAGTCCGGTAGCCTTATTCAATCTAAAAATGGGTTTACTTTACGATAAATTAACGTTATCTACAATGTATCGTCAAGGCCAATGGCCTTTGTAAAATCGAGAATTCTGTTGGGGTCAACTACGGAGAACAGAACTTGCAACTTTATTTTTTTTTTCATTTAAAATACTTCTTTCGGGTGTCTCCAAAATCTGGACATTCTGTTCAAGTGTGTCTAATGGTTAAAAAATAATCTGAGTCACCTCATGGCCTTAAGTTAACCTCACATTTCCAAAATCTGACGAGTGCCTGATTGTAGTGCGTCTTAACACAAAGATACTGGTTATGTCTCTCCCATGGAACATATCAAGAATGCCAAGACCAGAAGGTAAGTAAGGTGGCGTCGGTGGCCTAGTGATAGGCTACCGGACTCGCAATCGTGAGGTTGCGGATTCAGGGGTTTGAGCCGCAGGCCCGACGTTGTGTCCTTGGGGAAGGCACTTTACACTTCACACAATTAATTTTCCTCACTTCACTAAAGTGGGAATGGATACCCGGCCATAGACAGCGAAAGATCAGTATGTTGGTGTTTTAGCGTCTATAAATGGCTGCTTGCACTGTATGCTTCCCAGGAAGTTGAGGTTGTTTCAGAATGCTCTCAGGTCTGCTGGGGTAATAATAGTATAGATTGTGAAGCTCATAGAGCTTGCTGTTGAGCGGGGACTTGCGCTATACAAATGCTATCTATTGTTATTATTACTTGTATTATCATTATTAAACGTCAGTTTGGCAAAATACTTGCTCAATGTCTACTACTGGCCAGGAAAACCTGTATCGTGAACTTGCTTTAAAATCGTCTGTCAACATACAAACGGCCATACTATTTTAAAAGTTTTTTTCGCTGTTATAGACCAGGTTTTTTAGTTTTAGTAAGAGTTTTACGGCACTTGCAACACAATAAGGTTATATAAGTGCCGAAGATTGGAGGTGTTACAAGAGAGCAACAAACACAAAAAAGAAGGAGGGAGATAAGGATGATAGACGTTTGATAGGAAAGAAAGAGCAAACCACACCAGGACACCCGCCAACCACCCACTCACCAGATCTTTCAAACCAAAGAAAAAGCACCAACAAGCTAACACAGTGAGTCATCTACTGGTACATCAAGTGTTCTTTGATTCCTTCCTCATTTTATACAGTAAGTCATTAAGAGTTGCATTCTTACAAGAGGGCATTATCAATCAAAGGTACACACACACACACAAACACACATCAATCAAAGACACACACACACACACATCAATCAAAGACACACACACACACACACACACACACACACAAACACATCAATCAAAGGTACACACACACACACACACATCAATCAAAGGTACACACACACACACACACACACACACAAACACATCAATCAAAGGTACACACACACACACACACACACACACAAACACATCAATCAAAGACACACACACACACACACACATCATTCAAAGACACAAACACACACACATCATTCAAAGACACAAACACACACACACACACACGAGCACTACACACCGTGTCCCAAACACCCGCACACACTACCCCTCACTTTCACATTCAACCCCCCCCCCCCCTGCCCACACCCCCAAGTAGGAAAACAATAAATTACCACCCGCCCCACATTTTGGCAAAACTAGTCAAGTAATGAAGTAATTGTTTTTTGTTTTAGTAGAAGTTTCACAGCGTTCGCAAAACTGCATAAGGTCATATGAGTGCCAAGGGGTGGATGTAAACAGAGAAGTCCTTACAGGGAATCAGACTTACTCTGCTCAGCTCTCTAGAGAATGACAAACATACACCCATGAGGTAGTCTTTAGTTTGGTCAGAAAGTACAAAACTGAGTTAAGATTATCAATGTCTGCAAAGGTTCTCTCCAATTTGATTGTGCAGAAAGTCCATCTAAATAGCCATAAGTGGCTTAGGCATCAAGTCCAGCTTTCAAATGAGCAACTGAAACTGGCCAAGGGTGCTACATCAAAGCACCTTTCATTTAAATAGGCCAAGTCTTGCTCCCCCTTGTGCTGTACAAAGTGTAGATATTTTGCATTCCAATTATTACTGAAATAGATGTAGTCACTATAAGTGACTATTCCATTGCCATTGTGGAAGGGACTACTTAGGACAAAAGCAATGGATTTGTATTCAGTGTGCTGAGACGAGATGGCCACTGGATCGGAAAAGTAAAAAGTAAAGTAAGTCTATTTCAAGGTGTTGTATAGTTGCTCAAGACTACGAGTGTGAATGTGTTCCTCTTTTTAATTCTGCCAGAGGTACACCCCCTCTTCCTCCCCTCACCCCCCCCCCCATCTTATCTTCATTTTCAGGTCACACTTGACCTGTTGTGTAGTCTCACAGAAGACTATTCACTTACAGACATACACACATTCACACACAGACATACACACTTTCACACACATACATTTCAGAAGACATTTGTGTCATACACACACACACACAAATGCATGCATCTAACAGAAGACTATTCACACACAGACATACATACACACATACACATTCTCCCACACACACACGTAATCTCACACACACACACACACCTTTCACGTCATCCACTCACACACCGTAAGCCGCTGTCATGAAGACTGTTTCTCTGCGCTTCCAGCCGCCACCACGGCTTTGAAATACTTCTGCCGAAAACTCTCTTTCTCATACTGGTCCACAGCGATTGAGGCTCCCTCGCTGTTGTGTATTTCCTGCTCGACACGAAGAAAACGAAAGTTTTAGTAAGGGTTTTACGGCACTTGCAACACAATAAGGTCATATAAGTGCTGAAGAATAGATTATGTGTTACAAGAGAGTAACATACACGAAAAAGAAGGATGGGAGATCAGGACGACAAATGTTTGATAGGAAAGAAGGAGCAAACCACACCAGAGCACCCACCAACCACCCACTAATCTAGGTCATTAAGGAGGCAGGATGTTTTGACCCTGATTGTCGGACCAACCTCGGCTATTTCAGACACTACATTTATACAGAAAGTCAAAAGATGGAGACACAAACAAAAGCACAAAAAAAATTTTTTAAAAGACAAGAAAAGAAAAACAAACCCTTCCCCACCAGGGAACTAAGCTCGCATCTTATACTTGCGACACCAGTAGTAGCGATTTTTTGTTTGTTTTAGTAGAGTTTTTACGGCGCTCGCAAATGCATAAGGTCATAGGAGCGCCAAGGGGTGGATGTCAACATAGAAGTCCTTACAGGGAATCAGGCTTACTCTGCTCACCTCTCTAGCTTCAACAGCACAAAGTCTGCTTAGAGGAAGAAAAGGCGAAAGAGAGGGTTAGCAAAGAAAAAGCAGCAGTTCAGGCACGGTTATGAGCATGACATTGATGAATCAGCCCATTTACAATTCTACTGTACATAAGAACAGGTTAATGTTCCCCCCTTGGGAATGGCCTAAAGACACTTCAGTCAGTGGCACCGCCCTGGGGAGGTTGCAGCGATTTAGAGCAGAGCGCAATACATAAAAGAAAGTAAGGGGAAAAAGACGTTGAGTCAATATCAGCTACCATTAAATAATGTATTTTATCTTACTGAAGGACAGGTTCAAACCCCCCTCCCCCCCCCTTCCCCACTCAATGTACAGAGCTTATTTATCACAATTCCCACCCTCATGGGCAAGTGTGTGTTTTGAAGGTGCGTGTAGGTGTAGGTGTGTGTGCGTGTGTGTGTGCATGTGTGCGTGTAGGTGTGTGCGTGTGTGTGTGGGCACGAAAGTGTGTGTGTGCGTTGTTTCATGTGTGTATGAAACAGAGTTCCTGCAATGAACTCCCCACCAAATTCAAGGAGATTTCAAGGACAAATTCTAAAAATTCAAGGACATTTGGTCAACAAATTCATGCCGTTTTCAACGACGCGCCAAAGGCAATCCGACAAAAATTTTGTTCATGTCCGATCCGGCGAAGGAGGTTCCTAAAATTCCAGGAGTTTTCAAGGAGATTTTTTCCTTGAATGCAAATTCAAAGAGTTTTCAAGGACAGCCTGAATTCAAAGAGACCGCAGGAACCTCGGTGAAAGGAGTGCTACAACAGCCAGGACAGAATCAGAACAATAAATGACATTTATAGAGCGCTCAACCCCGATTAAAATACACAGGCTCTGAGCACTTTACAATACAGTACAACGTACAACAGTAACATAAAACGTTGTGTTCGGACTAAAAATAAAATCACTCTAAATATTCATTTTATTAATTTAAAAACAGAAATGACTTCAGCTGACATTTTAGTTTAGTTTACTATTAGGTTTTACGGCGTTCGCAACTGCATAAGGTCATATGAGCGCGCGTAACACAAGTTAGTTTTTTATTCGCGGTTCACTGCACGGCTGGGCACGGGTCATTTGATCTTAAAACGTTAAAATATTTAAAATTTTGTGTATATTTTCAATCTAAAATAATTTTCAGATAAATTTTTAACAATTCAAATTTGTTCTACAATTTCCCATAAAGGCCAAAGGCCTTCATAAAATCCAGCTGACCTTTGAATGAATCAAAATTCACATAAAGTACAACGTACAAACCTCAAACTCCTTGTCTTTGACCATGGTGATGAGCCTCCGAGAGATGGACAAGTTGAGGGGCTGCTCGCAGTTCGACTCCAGCCTCAGACACGGGTGTTGAGGGATGTTGGACTCCTGGTACCTGAAGCAAGAAGAGACAGTTGGGAGGCATCGTGGTGAAATCAGGCACTCGTCAAAATAATGAAATGGAAGAAAACAACATTTTTTCAGCAGATTGGGCAATGTTTATTTAATTTTTAATTTTAGTTTTAGTAGGAGTTTTACGGCACTTGCAACACAATCAGGTCATACAAGCGCCGAAGGTAAGAGGTGTTACAAGAGAGTAACAAACACAAAAAAAGGAGGAGGGATCAGGATGATAGATGTTTGATAGGAAAAAAGGAGCAAACCACACCAGAGCACCCGCCAATGACCCACTCACGCTGGTGTATGTAAACAAAGGTAGTTTAGGTCATCTAAGACTCACTCTGATGTATCAGGGTTCCTGCCATGAACTCCCCACCAAATCCAAGGAGATTTTAAGGAGAAATTTAAAAAATTCAAGGAGATTTGGTCAAGAAATTCATGCCGAAAGCCTATTTCCGAGAGGCCTACATTTGTCCGAAAGGAATCGTAGTTTCAATCTTCCGACAAAAATTTGGTTCATGTCCAATCCTATGAAATTCAAGGAGTTTTCAAGGAGGTTCCTCAAATTCCAGGGGTTTTCAAAGAGATTTTTCCTTGAGTGCAAATTCAAGGAGATTTCAAGGACTTAGGTCATCTAAAACCAGAGCTGTTAAAGTACTTTTTAAAAAGTACTTAAGTACAAATTTAAGTACAATCTAAAAAATGTACTTAAGTACAGTAAAAGTACTTTCCTATAAAATGTACTTGAGTACAAGTACTTTTTAAAAAAGTACTTATGAGTACATTTTGAGTACTTTCTGCTAATATGCTAAAACACTTCAGCGCTTATGCAAAACATCATATTTTATAACTTATCCAGTATATTTGACAAATTAGGATATTTATTACTAAAAATGTAAACAGTATACAAAGCATTTGAATATACAATGTACGCACTGAACGTAGGTGGAAATGGTCCGTGAAGTTGAACAAAAAACAACCCAAACGAACAGACGCAACTAGTGGGTAAGTGATTTTATGAATAGAACTTGTTTGAGCAAGACAATGTGATCAAATCTTAAGAAAACATAAAATTGATGAAAATGGCCCGCATAGTAATGGAAAAGTGCATTGAATTCTTCATTAACAAATCCTCAAGGAATCAATGTAGCCTTAAGCAAAACGAAGTGTATACAGACCCGGTAACCGGGAACAAAGTCACGAAGTATACAGGCCCGGTAGGGGAACTCTTTTGTGATTTCGGGAAGTTTCAGCCCCCAGACCCGGTAGAAATCTAGTGTGTGTGTGTGTGTGTGTGTGTGTGTGTGTGTGTGTGTGTGTGTGTGTGTGTGTGTGTGAGAGAGAGAGAGAGAGAGAGAGAGAGAGAGAGAGAGAGAGAGAGAGAGTGTGTGTGTGAGAGAGAGAGAGAGAGAGAGAGAGAGAGAGAGAGAGAGAGAGGGGGGGGGGGGGGTCTCTCGCAAAAATGTATCTGACATGCCCCCACTAGACAGAGGGGAACGAGAGAAAGATAGAGTGGGAAATAGGTGGGGACAAAGAAAGACAGAGACAAACAAAGAAAAAGAGAAGGCGAGCTATACACAGAGGAGACAGAAAGAGAGAGAGAGAGAGAGAGAGAGAGAGAGAGAGAGAGAGAGAGAGAGATAGAGAGAGAGAGAGAGAGAGAGAGAGAGAGAGAGAGAGAGAGAGAGAGAGAGAGAGAGAGAGAGAGAGAGAGAGAGAGGGGGGGGACTGCTCGATTGAAATTATGACATTGTAACTTGCTCTTTTCTTCAAATTGTGATTCCTCCATCCAACTCCAAAACGGAGGAAAAACGATCGTTCATCGAAAAGACATCCGCAATCTTCATTTAGATCTAGGCTAGCCGCGAAACTAGATCAAAGATTTAAGTCTGTCTGTCTAGATCTAGATCTAGACCATATATCTAGAAGAACCTAGGTCTACCCTGAGCCAAGAGGGCGCTGAAACTCTCCGAACTCACAAAAGAGTTCCTTTACCGGGTCTGTATACTTTGTGACTTTGTTCCCGGTTACCGGGTCTGTATACACTCCCTAAGCAAAAACCACCCAAAAAAAGTTTAAAAGAAATTTAGGCAGCCTAAAAATTGTTAGATACACATTGAGAACACAATTTCAGTTTCAATTGATTATAGTGGTCTGACAGATTTTGGTCACACTGTGTAGTCCACGGCGCCAACGGCAAACCAAAATACAATAGTTTCCTAGAGTCTAGTGAGTGTAGTGTAACCAAAGATTCTCTACTGCAGTAGTCTCCGCCTAAGATCCCAGTGCTCGGAAGCAAGGAAAATATGGGATCTTAGCCAACGAAGCCAAGGAAGAATCTACAGTGACCCATGAACTGATGTGACCCCTGGGTGGATTTATGACATATGGCAAACAAAGAGTGGTCAACCTTGATGACCAATCACAGTGGCATGAGGCATGCCATAAATAATATTATATATACACACTCATTAGCCTATAGTGAGTCTTGAGATCTTTATCTACGTTTATCCAGTTGCCCCTCCCCTTTACCTGTCCAACAATTTTAGGTTTCCATCTCTGATTGAGTTCCCCCGCCCCCCCCCCAACCTCCTTTGTCGTTACGCACCATTACGATGTGACCACACTAATTAAAATTCAGGTTGTCTCGCAAATTCGGGAAAAACTGCTTTCAATGGTCAGGGAAGAGTTCACAGTTTGATGTGATCCCGCCTGGAGCGAACTTGTAGGCCCTACCCACCCAGGGAGTGATGTAAGTTTAGGTAGTGAGGTCAGATGCGAGTGCGATGTTTGGGGAAAAGAAACGCATCGGTCAGTTCACAATAACCTTGGTGTGATCCCGTCTGGAGCAAACGCTGTACCGTTTCATGGAGTTTTACAACGCTTGTGATCACATTCACGATAGTATAGTGGCTGATCTTTGAGGCGACGAGCCGTTCTTTGATCTCAACTTTTAACTCTTGGCGGTTGATCGGGTTTTTGTTCCATAAATTATGATCAGAAATGCCTGCACTTACCCTTTCATTAAGCTACCAAAGTACTCAAAATGTACTTTAAAAATACGCAAAAGTACTTTTATAAAAAGTATCGGAGTACAGTAAAAGTACTGGTTTCAAAAATATACCGGAGTACAGTAAAAGTACCGAAAATTGTAACGTAAGTACAAGTACCGGAGTACTTGTACTCCGTTACTACCAGCTCTGTCTAAAACTCACTTTGATCTTTTTTAGGAAGACTTTTACGGAACTTGCAACACAATAAGGTCATATAAGAGCCGAAGATTAGAGGTGTTACAAGAGAGTACCAAACAACAAAAAAAGGAAGATCAGGACGACAGATGTTTGAAAGGAAAGAAGAAGCAAACCGCACCAGAGCGCCCGCCAACCACCCACACACTCACTCTGGTCTGAAGATGGGCAGCCAGTAGACAAGTCTCCCACCAAGCTCAAGAAACTTGGCGGCAAAGTTAAGCAGATCTTTGTAGATGTCTCCAATGTTGTACTGGGCCTTCTGCGGGTAGTGAGGGGCGCCTCTGAAAGGGGTGCAAAACAAAACAAAAACATTCTGAAGTGAGATTACAATATAATGATGACCCATACAAGAGGGAATTACTCAGATATGAAAAAGCATCTTCGAAATTGTGAAATGATATAGGTTAACAACAACCCTATCAACACTATTACATATGATGTATCAAGAGATTGCCTCCAAAGTCACAAGCATTTACACATCAAGACGTGCTGACTTAAGCGATATTTTCCAAACAGCAAATTACAACCCCTAACATCACACGACCTCAGTGCTTTCTTGTCTTATCTCCATTTTTTTAAACAGAGAAAACAGTTCATAACAAAGTGTGAGCTTAAGAAGAAGTCACATTTTAACTGTTAAAAAAAATGGAGATACGACAAGAAAGCACTGAGGTCGTGATCAGGAATATCTTTATAAAGTCTGTTCAGGTAAGAATACAAAAATTATATTTTTTTAAATGTTAGTCTTTAAGACTAAAACAATTACTACCAAACCAGGATTGACATGGGACCGTATGCCAGCTCACAAATTCCATCACATGGAGAGCGACACCACTACCCAGTACTTACATAATAGTTCATGCACTATACTGTTAAATATAAAATGATTAAATGATTATTTTCATATAACACAAATTCAGGAAAATTTGCTTAATTCTTGAGAAAACCCCCCCGGTGAAACGCATCAGGGCTGCAGAACTCATTTGGTATTCAAGCCAAAGCTCAAACAATATTTTACAACAAAAGAAAAAAACCCATCTGAAATTGCCACTATGACAAACAGAGATTATTATCAATATGATTTTCCAAATCAATGTAAGGAGGCGGGAGGAATAACTTACTCCACTTCCTTCACTTGTGACTCGTCCACTGTCGCAATCTTGGCAGCAGACTCCCTGATCCCATACGGTGCTGGACAACAATGAATAAAGTGAAAACTATAAATAGATACAACACATTCTCATACAGAACATGTTTCTACAGAGATGAAAAATTAATAATAATAATAAATTGCATTTATATAGCACATTTCCACAAAGAAGTGCTGAATGCGCTGTACAATAATACAGAGAACATATTCAGCACACAGCTCCTACAGCAGTCCTCTATCTCTCTCTCTCTCTTTCTCACTCTATCTCTGTGTCTCTTTGTCTCACTCTCTCTCTCTATCTCTCTCTCTCTCTCTCTCCAGTACATCCTTGAGTAAAGACCATCCCACAAAACTTACCCTGACACCCTCGTACACGATGAATTCAGTCATAAATTCTTACAGAACAGAACAGCATGAATAAATGATACTGAGAGAACATAGTAATATATCACACACTAAACAATCATACAAGACCGTGTACATATTGAGAGAAAAAGTGGGAGGGGAATAGTTGAAAGGGACCGTCTTTGCCGTACAGTGTGTTAATACCAAAAGGCCCATCTGTGTTTTGTATTTTAAGAGAGATCAAGATCGAATCTTTTGATTCACTCAAATGTCAGCTGAAGCCATTTCTGTTTTTAAATTGATAAGATGAATATCAGATCTAGAGAGATTTCCTCTCCGTCAAAACACAACATTTTATGTTACTAGTATATTGTATTGTAAAGTGCTCAGAGCCTGTGTACTTTAATCGGGGTTGAGCACTATAAATGTCATTTATTATTATTACGCCTTGACAAAACGCATGTTACCATTTCACACAAAACACCACTAGAGCTCTCTAGGATGCAACACCACTTTAAAAAAAAATTATTTTAAAAGGTAGACCTAAATATAGTATGTCCAAGGAAAGCCTTCACAGGTCACGGACAAGTACATCATAGAATGGACAGACGTAGCTTCAAGTTCTTTAAGACCCAGAGTTAAAAAATCAAAACCATTTGCAGGGCTTGAAATAGACCGCGGTAATTTGCCTTGGTGCCTTTGCAATTTGCCGCAATGCCCTTAAAATCACAGGGTCAACCGCGGCAATTTTTGCCATGCCCTCGTTTTTAATTCTAAAAAATGTGACGCCATGAAAATAAATCAATATAATTTGTCCTGTGCTGTCACTTGTGGAAAAAAAAACAGAAAAGAAAGTTATACAATGTACAAGCGTCTTGTCGGTTTCGCCATCGTGACCGGTCATGGGACTCCGGAATAGGGGGAAATTTTTTTTTTTTTTTTTTTTTAAGATACACGTGAGGAAAGAGGGGGGGGGGGGGTGGGGGTTGAAGACATCCTGTCAGAGTTGTCTTAAATCTCATCAAAACTTGTCAGACACTGCTCAGCTTGACAATTGTGTCAATTTTGTCAAGGCTAGTGCAAACACACTCACACCAATGATAACCAAACCTCAGTAAGCCAGTCTCTTTCTATATTGTGTGTGCCAAACATATTTTTAATATTCTGATCCAGTCATTAAGTCATTTGACAAGCTGATTGTTTAGGTCTTTTTTATACAACATACTTTAAGACATATTTTCAAAACTTGTTTTCACTTATCATAGTCATAACCTCATAACTGTTTAATAACAGTTTTTAGTTATTCATTCTTTTTATTCCATACAAGTTCATAAGTTGTTTTCACTCCTCATTTTCTTACATGCAAGTTCAAAATTTGTTGTCATTTTATCACTACACCGCCTGAAAACCACTTTGTTTGAATCTCATTAATAATCAATGTCTTACCTAATTGGTCAAATCATTCACTGTTTTCTATTGTGCCCTATTTCCAACAGTCATACACATTATGCATTTTAATCCAATCAATGAGGGGTAGTCATAAAGGCATTTATGTCAGATGCAATCGTGATGGTCTGCTTTAAAACTGTGACTTTTAGTGCTTTTGTTTTGATGTGATTTTACTGTGATTTAGATTCTACTTACTTTTCATTTATAATTTTAAAAATTTTATAATGTTCCAATAACTTTATACTTTTGTAGAGAGTAAGAATAAATTGTATTGTTATAAACGCTGTGATGCATGACCCAGTATTACCAACTTTAATCAACAAAATGATCCCCTGTGAATTTTGCCTTGGTGCCCTAGCAAATTGCCTCGATGCCCTCTGATTTTTAGGCCACACCTTGGCAATTTTTGCCTGTCCTCTTGAACACCTAATTCAAGCCCTGCATTTGGACCCCCCCACCCCCCCCCCCCCCTTTTTTGCCAAGCATACAAAAGTTCACATTTAACTTGAGAAGGGCTGAGGAAACTTGTAGCCACATTTGACAGTCTCAGCCAGATGATATAAGTAAGTGTCAGAAAGGCAAAAACACAATCCATAAATTTAGAAACAAATTTCAAAAGGTCTTGGGTAAGAGTTTTGAGCGGGCACTTATATATATATATATATATATACACTTATTACTCTGAGAAATTATGTCTCAATTGAAAGTGCTGCATAGCTGGCCTACCATAGAAAACTGCATCTCCCCTCGAAGCTTAACACTTACAGTACCAAAGACGTGGGTCAGTATAGAACGCTGAAGCCGTGGTAGATTTTTTTTTTTATCAGAAAAACCTTGGCAGCCCAAAAAACACACTCTAAAAATTCAGAGAGGTTCATCAACCATTAAGCTTTCATATAGAGTGACTTCCTTTTGGTATAAATTCAGTGAAGTGCGTCCATTCGTTGTTTAATTATGTTTAGTGTGCCCGGTTGCTGCACTGACTCAAGTTGCCAGTGGAAGTGAGCGCATACTACGGCCTGAGTCACCGACGGTACTGAAAGTGTTAATGGCAACAGAGGATGAAAAAGAAAAAGTAAAGTACTTTTCTATTGGATGAAAAAGAAAAGTAAAGTACTTTTCTATTGGACGAAAAAGAAAAAGTAAAGTACTTTTCGACAGGATGAAGAAGAAAAAGTAAAGTACTTTTCTATTGGATGAAGAAGAAAAAGTAAAGTACTTTTCTATTGGATGAAGAAGAAAAAGTATAGCACTTTTCTATTGGATGAAGAAGAAAAAGAAAAGAACTTTTCGGCCTATTGCGAGAGCCACTTACGATCTGTGATGATGGCGTCGAACCTGCAGCCCTTCCTCCACACTCGGTGCCGCGAGGCGTCGGCGACCATCACATCGATGTACCGACTCTCCAGCCCGTACTGCTGCAGGTTTTGACGGACGCTCTCATCGCTGGCGCGTGTTTTCTGGCACGCTCGACTCGGCTTGGCTGAAAACATGAAACATCAGACGTGGGTTGAGTTGAAACAAGGTCAAAATTCTTTAAGTTATATCACTATTTTGTTGATATAAATGTCAATAAATACCCTACCAGACACAAAGTGCTCATTTTCAAAGATGAAACAGTCTCATAAGTTAAGAGAAGCGGGGGGGGAAATCAAGTCGAGGGCTCAAAATATTGATCATTGGATTTTTGTATAATTTTAAACTAACTTAATTTCCCTAAAAAAAAAAGCATTTTCCACCAGTTCTCAATTTACAAAGAACTCAAAAGTTTTGGGGACAAAAAAACCCAAAAAACCCAAACCAGAACAAAGCACTCACCCCTGGCGTGAAGCAGGAGATAGTCGATGTCGGTTCCCATGACATACGCTCCGTAGTGGGCACTGGAGACCAGCAGACTGCCTGGACACAGATACAAATTAAAGATGATATATGTGAGGCATCATGCTGGAATCAGGCGTTCGTAAATTTTTCGGCATATTGAGTTATTGGTATCATCTTAAAGCTTGTTCATTTGTCTTTCTTTCAATGAAAAAATTACCTATCCATCTTCAATAGAAGTGGAGATATTTTATTTGAAGGTGGGGGTCTCCTGGTTGGTGGGGGTCACCTGGTTTAAGAGGTCAAATTAGCGAGAAAATGGCCGCCAAAGCTTGGTAAATTCCAAAGTTGGAGAGTCCATGGAACTTGTAATTTTATATTTTTGTGCCTTTAATCAACGTTTTCGTGAAATCCTCAGAGGAATGTGTTTGTAATGGACATAAAACGTGTTGAGGGTATTTTTTTCATTGTAAGCAAGGCAAATTAATAAGTATGCAGGTGATATCAATAACTCCACATGCCCAAACATTGACGAGTGCCTGATTCCACTGCGTCGTGACACATATAATAAATGTTTTACATCACCATCCAAACAAGTTAACCCCCCACCAGGGCAGTGCTACTGACTGAAGTTGTCTTCAGGCCATCCCCAAAGGGGGGACATTAACATGTTCTTATGCACAGTAGAACTGTAAATGCGCTAATTTATCAACGTCATGCTCATACTGTGCCAGAGCAACATAGGGGGAACTGCTGCTTTTTCTTTCCTCATCCTTACTATCATCATTTTTTCCTCTACTTCTTTTGTATGTTTGTCGCTCTCTTGTGAACTACTATTTCTTTGATAGTCAAAGTAGACTTTGTGCTGTTGAAGCTAGAGAGACGAGCAGAGTAAGCCTGATTCCCCGTTTGGGCTTCTCTATTGACATCCACCCCTTGGCGCTCATATGACCTTGTGCAGTTGCGAGTTATCAAGGCACCCCGGAAACAGCGGGTCACAAGAGAGTGACAGCATGCAAAAGAAGTGGAGGAAAAAATGACGATAGTAAGGATGAGGAAAGAAAAAGTAAAAGTTCCCTGTTGCAGTTCAGGCACAGTTGTGAGCATGACACAGATGAATCAGCCCATTTACAATTGTACTGCGCATAAGAACATATTAATATCGCCCCTTTGGGAAAGGCCTAAAGACACTTCAATCAGTAGCACCGCCCCGGGGGGGGTATCCCAGGGACTGATCGAGCAATAGCAACGCGGAGGAAAAAAGAAGTAAACGTCACAGATCACACCATACCAGAGTGGTCAAGAAAACCACCTACTTTCTTGCTGTCTCACCTGAGCCTACGAAGGGGTCCATGACAAAGTCGTCGTGCTTGACCTGTGCCAGGTTGGCCATCACCATGGAGAGACAGGCGTCCATGCTGGTGTTTGCTGAGGAACAAACAAACAAACACACACACACACATGAACACACGTCATCACCATGGAGAGACAGGCGTCCATGCTGGTGTTGGATGAGGAAGGAACAAACAAACAAAGATACACACATATGAACACACGCCATCATCATGGAGAGTCGAGGAACAAATAAACAAACAAACATACACATGCATGAACACACACCATCACCATGGAGAGATTGTCGTCCATGCTGGTGTTGGCTGAGGAACAAACACACAAACACATGAACACACGCATGAACTGAATAATCTAGTTTCAGAAAGAGTGTTACAGCACATAACGACAGAACCATGACAAAGAAGGTATATATGTACACAAAAAGTAAAGGAATAATACTGAATAATAAAAGTAATAATAATAGTGGTAATAATAATAATAAACGACATTTATATAGCGCTCAACCCTGATCAAAGTACACAGGCTCTAATCGCTTTATAATACAATACAATGTACCACAGTAACATAAAACGTTGTGTTCTGACTAAAAGAAAATCACTCCAAATATTCTCATCTTATTAATTTAAAAACAGAAATGACTTCAGCTGACATTTGAATGAATCAAAAGATTTGATCTCCCTTGATAATAATATTAATAACAATGATAATGATAAAAATAATAATAATTATGGTGTTAGCAAGAGTTTTACAGCAGTTACAACACCAATAGGTCATACAGTGTCAAAGATTAGACATGTTGCTGGTGAGTAAAAAATCAAAATATAAAAAGGAGGAGGGATAAGAACAATAGATGTCTTTGTTTTAGCTTTAGTAAGCCTTTTATGGCACTTGCAACACAATTCACAATAAGGTCATATAAGTGCCGAAGATTAGAGATGTTACAAGGGAGTAACAGTAACAAACACAAAAAAGAAAGAAGAGAGATAAAGACGACAGATGTTCGATAGGAAAGATGACGGAGACCACACTAGAGCACCTACCAACCACCCACTCCATTAGGACCAATGACGGCACTCTCACCAAAAGCTCCCCCCCCCCCTCCCCTTAAGATCTTACAATAAAAAAGCATGTGACCTTCCTATGGTTTATTTAGTAAGCTTTTTACAGCACTTGCAACACAATTAGGTCATGTAAGTGCCGAAGATTAGAGGTGTTACGAGAGAGTAAACAACACAAAAAAGAAGGAGAGATAAAAAGACGATAGATGTTTGATAAGAAAGAAGACGCAGACCACACCAGAGCACCTGCCAACAACCCACTCCATCAGGAGCAATGTCGGCGCTCTCACCAAAAGAAGAAAAAAAAAGAAAGAAAAGAAAAGAAAAAAAAAGAAAAAAGAAAAAAGAAAAAGAAGATTTTACAATCAAAAAACATCTGACCCACCTATGAAGTGACGTTTCTGTAAGTGGTACTGCTGTATCGCATCTCGTTGGCCATCAGCCACCTGAATAAATGTCAGGGGAAAAAGAAAGATACTTCAGACAAACCCGCAGACAATTACCAATTCCCTTTTGGATATACCAAGTTTCATTTTGGATAATACCCGTAACATGCAGATTAATGACAATGATAATCTTTATTCATCTCGCAGGGAGAAATTTGTCTAGGTCGTTAACTATGGCAGTGGACATTACAATTCGTATTTAAAAAACTTAAAGATACTTATTCACTTGTTCAAATTTCAAGTTGGGGCTTTGGTTTTCATACGAGTGAAAAACTCTTAAACACAAATATAGGTTCTTTCAAAAATACTCAAAACCACAAAACAAATACACCATCGCCCACGGCGAGGACACACCCACCACCTGCAATCCCAACAACAAGCCACCGTTATGACAGACAGTGTTTGTTCCCACTCACCCATCGGCCAAAGAACACCTTGAGGGGTTCCTCGCTCGGCTTTGAGTCGTTCTCATAGAACTCGAGAAGGTGGAAGCTCACATCCGGCGTTCGGAGGTTGATCTTTGCTTGAAAAACCGACGCAGATTCTGTCAGCAGCTGCTGGTCATAATGATACACCAAACAAATTTTTTTTTAAAGAATAAGATTTTAAAATCTCTTAGTTTTAGTTTTATTAGAGTTTTTACGGCACTCGCAACTGTATAAGTTAATATGAGCGCTAAGGGGAGGATGTCAACGGAGAAGTCCTTACAGGGAATCAGGCTTACTGTTACGGCACTCGCAACTGTATAAGTTAATATGAGCGCTAAGGGGAGGATGTCAACGGAGAAGTCCTTACAGGGAATCAGGCTTACTGAGCTCATGTCTCTAACTTCAACAGCACAAAGTCTGCTTCGACTATCAAGGAACCCCGGAGATAGCGGGTCATAAGAGTGTGAAAAACATAAGAAGTAGAGGAAAAATGACAATAGTAAGGATTAGGAAAGACAAAGCAGCAGTTCCCTGTTGCAGTTCAGGCACAATATGAGCATGACATTGATGAATCAGCCCATTTACAATTCTACTGTGCATAAGAACATGTTAATGTCCCCCCTTTGGGAATGGCCTAAAGACACTTCAGTCAGTAGAACCGCCCCAGGGGGTTTAAAATCTTTTAAAATATGCAGATTTAAAAAATACAGACAGTGGTGAACACCTGCATCAAAAAGGGGAAGACCAACCTAAGTTTTTAACAAATGTTTAACATCTCAGCTTGCAGCAGATGCCTAAACTGTAAAAATAAGGGTAGAACCAAAATAAAAAAATGCATCACTCACATGAGAAGTCAGGAGATACTGAGTCTGAGACACCTTGTATCGTACAAGAAGTGTATTTTTGTCATTAGCATGTAATTTCCGCCATGGTAAAATTTGAAATTTCATATCAATCCACGAAACGTTGCTTTGGGTTTTTTTCTATCGCAAACATAAGCTGGAGAAAACAGACTGTCAGCTGCTTTCAATGTCAAATCGATCAAGTACGTAGCTTTATCTTATCTTCAAAAGAACTCAAAAGGAATTTCAGTTATCGAAGAATGTTCAGTATCTCAGAGCAAGGAGAGCGAATTCATCCTGAATGATCGACTGACGGTAAAATATAATTTAAAATTCTAGAAATTATCAATAAAAAGATAGAAAAGAGTATCATCAACTAAACTGTCTCACCTCAATCTTTTTTATCTTCTCTGCACTTGAGATTTTCTTGTTAAATGTTTCCACAATGATCCGGAAGCTTTTTCCATTATTGGTGTACTCCTCCTGAGAAAAAAACCATTTGTAAATAAAAACAGAGCGAAAGTGCACCAAATCTAAGGAAAGGATTCTCAAATTCATTCAGTGCTTACAACAACAAAATCCCAAAATGGAGGAAAAATTTGCCGGGGTTGGGGCCACACCCTGGTTGGGGTGAGAAATTTGCAATTGAAGATTTAGCTGTTGTTGTTGTTAGCGATCCAGTAGCATCTGAGCGTTAACTCTTCTGCATGATGCCATTCGGTAATAGTTGTATGTTTGTTCTAATTGTTGTCTTGAGGAGTAGAGGCAATTAGATGTGTGGGGTAGCTTGGGCAGAAAACATCCCCTTAAATCAGTTAGTTTTCTACAAAAGAACAGATGATGTTCCACTGTCTCTGAGGGGTAGTCACATAGTGGGCAGGCAGCAGACTGCTTTACTCCAATTCGGTTGAGATGTTGGTTGAGGGGTACATGTTGTGTTCTAAGTTGGAAGATTATGGATTGATCTCCCCTCCTTAACTCATTGATTGGATCTTTGACCAGTGGTTTATTCATGTGGCCATACATCCTCCTTCCTGTCGTACCTGAGGCCCAATCATTCATCCACTCTTCCTTGAGGTTTGGAAGACTTAGCTAAAATGTAAAAAGCCCCCTATGCTTTTAGTTTTTAGTAAAAGTTTTACAGCACATCCATCATCCAATACAAAAAGGTCATATGAAGATTAGAAGTGCTACAAGAGAGTAACAGACACAAAAGAGAAGGAGGTGAAATATTAAAAGACGATAGATGTTTGATAGGAAGGAAGAAGCAAACCACACCAGAGCACCCGCCAACATCCCACTACGATGAAAGCATTGTATCATTGTTCCAGGCTGAAAACATGCTCAAAGAGCAGATACATACAACACAAAAGAGAGCAAAATAATTTCTACCACTGCATGCACCTGCCATTCCACATACAAAACCCTTGAATACAAACCAAAACAAAACAGCCTACAAAGTAGGCAAAAATACACACAAAAATAAAATTTTTCTTTTTTTTGAAAAGTGTTTTACGGCGCTCGCAACAGCATAAGGTCATATGAGCACGCATAATTTTCTTTTCGTTTGAACTTACCGTAACCTCACTGGGCAGGCTGTCAATTTTGTCTTTCACTTCCTTCACAGAAGTTCCCTCCGCCCACAGCTCATAGACTCGCCTGTAGGAGAGATCATTCAAATATATACTTAAACACACCAAAGCACAAACATTAAAGTTTAAGTCAGAGACTACAGCAATTTTCATTTTTAATTTTTAGTCATTGGGATTCACAAAGAAAACCTATTATATCCTGGCTGACTAGAGTCTAACCCTGTGTCTGTTGCGACTGGACTGGTGGACGTAAGAACATGGTGTGTTAAATATGACAGCAATAACACAACTACATATGTGACAATCGTTCACCCACTTGGACAAAAAGAAAAAAGCAGCATAGTCTATGATAGTCTAAAACTGGCCTTTTTCTACCGTGCTCTCCTTAATGACCTCAAAATGCGATTTTACAAACAATGAATGCAGCAAAACATAATATTTAATACCACTCATTCATGTTTTATTGATGAAACGCAACTTTAACAATTTCCACCTTAAATGTACTCACTTGCTAAGGACAGAACGCTTCATTATTCTCATCGCATCTGTGTCATTTTTCAGCTTAATTTCCATGAAGGGACTCTGAAGACAAAAAACAGGACCAATCAATGTAGGGCAAACACTGAGCTTCACACTGCCACCTTACAGCTCCGAATACAACAGTTTGAGTTTGGTCGGCCAAAAGGCATTAAAACAGCTTCATTCCACATTTAGCGAAGTCAGTTCTTTTTCTCATTCATGAACACTTTCTCTTCTTCTCGATGTTCTAGTTCTAGTTCCAGCCAGTACAAGGTCTACTACAAGCTCTACCCTGTCAAAAGCCTGTTATTAAATGGCACCCAGTACCTGTCGAATCCTTCAAGATGGCAGCCCACCATCTTGGACAAAAAAGTTTATCTCAAACTTAAACAATGTCTTGGACAGGCTACAGCAGGTTTGACTGTAAATTAGTTATAATAATTATGGGATTCATTTATACAATGGTGTATTTCCACCCTGTGAATGCTCAATATGCACTTACAGAAAATATTACATCAACGATTACTCTTATTCATGAATAGCAACAGTATATTATTATAAATTATATGACTACCGCACACGATTCTTTCTGTCTTCCTCTATCCTGAAAGGAGTTGAAATCAAAGAAAAACAAAATCAAAACAGCATTCACTTTAAGTAACAAACCAACAAGGCTAACAGGTCAGATTTTCAAAATTTTTTGGGGGGTAACTGATCTACGGCGCTAGCAACTGTTTAAGGTCATATGAGCACGCGGGACACGTTAAACATTTTCAGTTGGTAGAAAATTTTGAATTTTGCCTGGGTGGCGGCCGAAGCCTACTTTTATCGATTTTGGACCACCAAGGAATCTTTAACGAGCGCAACTTGCACACAGGACCTCTGAGATTTTTCTTCCTTGTCCGAGAAGATTAGTTGTAGATCTTACCTACCATAAGATTATATATCAGATATGAAGTCAAGAAGAAGAGCATTTATTATAAGAACAACCAAAAAGACATGAGCTCCAATTCTTTCCAAGATGTTACTTACCCCACTGACCAAATCACATTCCTTCAGCGATGCTTCACATCCAATCAGAGACACTATTGATCTGATTTCCTGGAAGGGGAGAGCAAAACATTTGTTCTTAAACTGCAGATAGGATAAGCCCACAGCTGAGTAAAATCCAGGAGTGATCGATATTTGATCACATTTGTTTTAGTAAGTGTTTTACGGCACTTGCAACACAATAAGGTCATATAAGTGCCGAAGATTAGAGGAGTTACAAGATAGTACAAACACAAAACAGAAGGAGGGGAGATAAAAACGATAGATGTTTGATAGGAAAGAAGAAGCAAACCACACCAGAGCACCGCCAACCACCCACATTTGATCCCACCAACCAATATCCTTGTGGAAGGAAGAGTAGCCCCATCACAAAATTGCTGCAGGGCTCCCCTTTATGCACAAATGTGCATATATGTTACAGTAAGAACGCGTACCTATTTCAGTGAAAACGCGCAATCCCTGTTTCACTCGGAGATTTCACGTAATCACTGAAATAATCAGGAATTACGTGAAATCCCTGAAAAATGGCCTCAGTAATTACACGTAATCCCTGATCAGACATGTGTAGTATAATATACTTTTGTAAAATGTTATTCCTTAAATAATCAGTTCGGTAACAGATACTCTCTCCATCTTTCTCTCTCTCTTTCACACACACACATACACACACACACAAACACATACTCACATGCTCCAGAATCTAATAACTAAGCATTTAAAAATTCAAAAAAAATTACCAGGCACATGCAAAATTTTATTGCTTAAATAGTCAGTTCGGTAAAAGATACTCTCTCTCTCTTTCTCCCTCCCTCCTCTCTCCTCTCTCTCTCTCTCACACACACACACAACACACACACACACACATACAAACAACACACACACATACACACACCTGCACCACAATCTAAAAACAAAGCATTTCATTTTTTTAAATAGCAGACACCATTGTTGTTGTTATTGTTGTTGTTTCAGTTTTCAGTTAAATACTTAAGACTAAAATCCATCGACGTCGTCACTTGTTACAACAATTGAAGCTGCTATGACTGTGCTAGTTACACTGAAGACCAGCTTTACGGCATTTACATATCGCCTCGAACTACACTTTTTGGCACCCGTACAGTTGCATCTTGAGAAGCCTTGTCCACCTGAAGAGGATTGAAAAAGCACCGCTGAACGCAGTGAAACTATATTTTTTTCGGTGTTTATGTCGTCAGTGTTCAGAAGACGCTCAGGGCACAGATCGAACTGATTTCTGGAATACAAACCAGCTTTTACGGCTATCTTCTTGTCTGTCAATTATGACACCTAGGATATTTCTAGCATCGCCTCTCCCTCGATCAACAAGTGGAACTGGCACACAAACGTTGTCTCCTTGTTTGCCAGCTGACATATTCTATGTTACAGTAAGAACACGTACACCAATCTAGTTAATACGCGTAATCACTGGATATTTCAGTGAAAACGCGTAATCCCTGTACAGTGGCGGGCTATTACGTGAATTCACTGAATGCTCAGTAGTAAAAACACGTAAAATGATAGAGGTCTAATTTTAGGGATTTCACGTAATCACTAGAAATTTCAGTGATTATGTGAAACCCCCGAGTGAAACGGGGATTACGTGTATTCACTAAAATATTCAGTGATTACACGTATTCACTAGGTATGCATTCTTACTGTAAATATATATATTACGCATTAAACCTGCAGATAACCCCCTTTAAGTTTTCGTTGTGCATGAGCTGTACTCTATAATTTCATTTCAGGGGTTTGCATACTCTTTAAAGCGTAGGTGGAGTGCGTCTGGCAAGCATCATTTTCCCCCTTCTCTATCCCGAAGCCGAGTCAATGATTTGACAACAACCCCATACACACGCACTAGTAAACCTGAATTGAACGTCATCGAAAGTCAGGAATGTGGACCCTGGGCTGGCTTGAAGAATAAGGAATCAGTTTATTTTCCAAACCTACCACTCATCCCTGCCCTAAATCTCAAGCATCCCGATTTTGATCATGTGTACCCTGATTTAAAAAAAAAAAATTTTTGTTGCGCCTGTTGCGCCAGATCTTTTCTAAAATCTTACTCTGCTTTCTTTTCTGTCGAAGGAAGCACCCGTTAAACTTTTTGTCAGCAAAAACTCGGAGCACTACTTTCCTAAATGTCTGTGTTGAATTTAGTAGTTGACTAACCAAAAGTTGACTTGGATCTTTGCTCACACGTGTTATTTTAACTATAATGCAAGTAGTATTGATTTGGCATTCCGACTTAAACATTCTCAAGATCTCCTTTCGCCAAAACAAGCTTTGTCCGAGTTCTGGTTAGTCGGGCCTGTCATCAAGACCCGTCAGTAAAACTGTTCCAATCACACGTTCCCACCATGTGACATGACTTCAGCGTGTGAGTTCCGCGTGTGTCAGGGACCGTCCATTGACAGGGTCAATTTAAGTTCATGCGCACAGGTTGAAGCATCTTTCGGGACTTAACCGGGGTGGAGGGGGGGAGCGTGTAAAACATTTGGACTAAGTTGGACTAGGTAGGAGTAGGAGAACCCTGACATGATGCTTCAGGATTTTAAAAAAAACAACAATGATAAAACACATGCAGGCACTTGCGCGCGCACAAACACACACACACACACAAAATAGCACACGAGCTATTCAAAACGCAGCGTTGCAAATAATATAGATTCTACTAGATCTAGATATCTATATTTTTTTTCTACTATTATGGTTACTACTACAACAGTTACAGTGGAATCCTGTTATAACGAGAGGGAGGGGACCTGTGCGAAATGTCCGTTATAGCAGGATTCTCGTTACAAGGGATCTAGTAATAATAATAAATTCAAGGGAAATAGTAAAGTAGGCCTAATCTATGATTTGGCGTTCTGTTTATTCCTTTTTGTATTTCCTCTGGTGATGATTTGTTCAACATGATCTCAAGGTCTTACTTGATCAAAAATCGAATCAGGTTTCTTTCTCTAGCACTAGCAAGGTTGACAAATATCGACCTTGGCAATCAGAAAGGGGCTCTGGCTCTAGGCTAACTCGCCCGCAGTGTTGTCCCCCACCCCACCACACACTGTGGCGTGTTGCGTCTGCTCGCGCACGTCATACATTCACTCCATCCATCTTTCACAGCATTATGACCTCTCCATCCCGCACTACAAGTGAAAGGCACGGTATGCCTAGATAATCTAGACTGGGCTGGCCTATCACGCGATGCGTTCTGCTTGTGTCTGCGCATGCCACACCCTCCCCACTCATTTGCTCCGGCCTTCATTGTTGGTACGCGTGGGCTCTCCCATTCCTTGTTTCGCTGGATCACCGACAACTTTCTCAACTGGCAAGGTTTTTAATTGGGGAAGTGGCTATTCTCATCCGGGGTGAGAATAGAAAAACGATCTACCTCTAACCCCGGGTGAGACTTGCCAGCGTAGGCTATTCTCACCCGGTGCGAAACAAGACCTGCTTTTCCTCATTTTGGAATACTGTCTATCGGTGTGGATGATCAAATTGATAAAAGCCAAGAAAAAATTACGTTATAGAAAAGTAAGCTAATTTGATCGTCTTCAAAGATGCTATGGCTATTTCACTGTTCGAATCGAGCCAAACTACGCGGGTCGCCATTTTGTTTTGCCCGGAAGTTCTCGCAAGATCTACTCCTCCCCTCCCTCTCTCTCTCTGTCTCTTTCTGAATACTGTCTATCGGTGTGGACAATCAAATTGACCAAAACAAAGTTAAAAAATGATGTTAAAACACAAAAGTAAATTAATTTGGTTGTCTACAAAGATGCTACGGCTATTTAACTTTTCGAATCGAGCCGAACTACGCGGGTCGCCATTTTGTTTTGACCGGAAGTTCTCGCGATACTCCTCTCTCTCTCTCTTTCTCTCTCTCCACTGCCCACAGACAAAATTGTACGCTTTTAGTAGGCTACAGTTGTAATGGAACGTTTGTTCACAGCACAGAATTCTACAATTTTTCTGTTATCACAGTGTAGAATTCTGTGGTTTAGGGTGAACGCAAAATTTGTTGGCCTAGATCTAGATATGGGCTATAACGGTGAACGCGCACCGGGTGAGAATAGCCAAAAGACTCGCCTGCACTATTCTCACCCCGGGTGAGAATAGAGGTGGCCTTTATTTGGACTTGGTCTGTGCGCTGTGCACAGCAGCAGCAATATTCCGTTATAAACGACTCGCGTGACGGTCTGATTGCGCAATAGCAGTATTTTATTTACACAGATAAAGAAGGAAAAAAAACGGGGTTTTAGAACAGTGTCTTTATAACAGACCTCTCGTTGTTTCAGGACTCGTTTATAAGTGGACTCCACTGTGACACTGTATGTAGAGTCTACTGTACTGACGTTGTAGCCTACGCCTGCGGTATTGTAAAGGGAAGTGGCTATTCTCATCCGGGGTGAGAATAGAAAAACGATCTACCTCTCACCCCGGGTGAGACTTGCCAGCGTAGGCTATTCTCACCCGGTGCGAAACAAGACCTGCTTTTCCTCATTTTGGAATACTGTCTATTGGTGTGGATGATCAAATTGATAAAAGTAGCAATGACAATGAAAAATTAAATTTTCATCCAAATTGCTTTAAAATGGGCTTAAATGAAACTAGAGTAAATTCTAAGAACTATGGTTCTTAAATTTCAAAAATCCATTGATAAATAAAAAAGTTATTGGGATTTTTGTTTGCAAAATGTTGGAGGACCTTCATATAGGAAAAAATTGCCAAAATGTGGGACATGTTTTGATGTATTTTGAGGAAAAACTGTTCATAAGTCAGTAATGAATTGGAGCATATGAATGAAACTTGGCATCTCCATGTGATTTTTAGTGCCGAATCTAGTTCTGCCATCACTTTTTCGTTGTCTTCATTACTTTGGATCTTAAAGACTGATATTTGCGTGAAATTTGTTGAATTGCGTGACATCGTTTTTACCGCGACGCGATCACCCCTTCTAAAACTCAGTAAAGCGCTATCGGGAAAACCCGCGATGTAGTCATCGGTGACCCATTTGGTTATAGGCAGCCAATCACATGCCGCCTAGCGATCACGCGCCTCTTGCATGCCGGCACCTCGCGTTTGGAATGCGCAATTAAGTTTCTAGATCTAGTGTTTTATCAATGGGTGGGTGGTAATTTTAAGTTGTTACGGAAAATCTACTAAACGCAGAGATCTGAAATTTTACAGCAATAAAGAAGACATGTGGGGCGCTTGTGTGGTCGGCGATCAACCCGCAGCTCCGCTTAGTTTTCGAACCGCAGAGGAATTTCTCACAAACACGGCAATATCTCCGGTTCTAGTAATCGTTCAGGATTGTACGCTGGCATGTCGTTAGTTTAACCTTTCCTCTGGTTGGTTGCCGAGTTTCATTTATTTTCGTCCAGGAGTTTTCCCGTAACTAAACTTAGAAGAGAGTCACTTCTGATTCCGAGCGGCCCAAAAAATACCCCTCGCGCGGAGGCCGATTTTCGGCACAAGGCGCAGCGGGCGATTGGCATTGCTAATAAAAGCCAAGAAAAAATTACGTTATAGCACAAAAGTAAGCTAATTTGATCGTCTTCAAAGATGCTATGGCTATTTCACTGTTCGAATCGAGCCAAACTACGCGGGTCGCCATTTTGTTTTGCCCGGAAGTTCTCGCAAGATCTACTCCTCCCCTCCCTCTCTCTCTCTGTCTCTTTCTGAATACTGTCTATCGGTGTGGACAATCAAATTGACCAAAACAAAGTTAAAAAATGATGTTAAAACACAAAAGTAAATTAATTTGGTTGTCTACAAAAATGCTACGGCTATTTAACTTTTCGAATCGAGCAGAACTACGCGAGTCGCCATTTTGTTTTGACCGGAAGTTCTCACGCTACTCCTCTCTCTGTCTCTCTCTCCACTGCCCACATACAAAATTGGGCGCTTTTTCGGTAGTTCCCACCCCGCATTTGTTATTCGCCGGTTTTGGCCCCAAGAGTAGGGGGGTTTCAGCTGACCTAATTCTAATAAAAACAAGGTGTTCGGGGGGTTTCAGGGGGGCATGCCCCCCTGAATTTTACCACAATTTAATGTTTTGCAGTTGTTAGGTTTGACATCTTAGCTTGCCGCGAATCAAACGTATATAGATCTAGATGTAGGTCAGGCTCTATCAAATAAGGGGGGTGGGAACTACCGAAAAAGCGCCCAAAATTGTACGCTTTTAGTAGGCTACAGTTGTAATGGAACGTTTGTTCACGGCACAGAATTCTACAATTTTTCTGTTATCACAGTGTAGAATTCTGTGGTTTAGGGTGAACGCAAAATTTGTTGGCCTAGATCTAGATCTAGGCTATAACAGTGAACGCGCACCGGGTGAGAATAGCCAAAAGACTAGCCTGCACTACTATAGATCTATTCTCATCCCGGGTGAGAATAGAGGTGGCCATTGTAAAGCGCTCAGAGCCTGCGTACTTTAATCAGGCTTGAGCGCTATATAAATGTCATTTATCATTATTATTATTGGTAAGCCTTATTATTACCGGTATTCGAAAATCAAGATGCTGGTGCGCAAACTGTATTATATACTTCTTCATGGTTTCACAAATTGGGTTCGCCGCATGAACCATGCGCGACGCCATATTGTTTAGATGAGCTTTGTAATACTGGACAGGATTATGTATATCACGTACTTTACATTTTCAGTGATAATCAGTTATTTTTCTTTAGTTTTTGTACATTGTGACTATATTTGTTTATATTTTAGAATATTGTTTTATTGATGGGTTTCTTTTTCATTGAAAAAAACTCCCAATAAATAATGGACTTTTCATCTGCACCAGAATATCTCAATGACTGCTTCAGTGGGAAAACCCGATCATGATTTCGTTGTTTTGATGGTAACAAAATTCGAAAGTGAAACATCAATGTATTGACAGCATATCTAGATTTTGTACTGTCTCAGTTTTGTTTCTCCCTGGGTTTAAAGTTCAGCTGAAGAGTATGGCATCGCCTGGCTTTGAGTTATTATACTCAAGCGTTGCACAGCAGGTCAGGTCTGCAGATGATGCTTCAATAGTTGCTGTTCACTGGAACTTGATTTCGAACGGCTTCAAGTGCTGTGGAACCGGAGAGGTGTGGCCAGATCAACAGGTTAGAGGTTTAGTGGCTAGCCTGCCAGTCTAGCCGTCTTTAAATGCGGCTAGACGGCAACTAGATCTAGATCTAGATCTAGTAATTATTCAGGTCTAAAATACAGACAATACATCGTCATGCATGTCAGTAAGTAGTAAGGCACCTTTTTGGTTTCGTCTCAAACTCAAACACTAAAATCTAGATCTAGCTCTAGACTAGAGAATCTAGATCTAGATCTAGATTCTAGATCTAGATCTAGATCTAGATCTAGATCTAGATAGATCTACAAGGCATTTTAAATAAAAAATTTATTTACAAATTCAGTAGGCTTAATTTTTGCAGTTTGTCTTTCTAGCCATTATTAAATTTATTAAGCATGGCTAGCCTGCCTGTCTAGCCGTCGTACTAGCCTTGGAGCAGTCTCCCGTCATTAAGTACCTTCTACTTTAGCCTATTAGGCCTATAATATTTAACATGTTCTTTTATACACTGTAGAATTGGAAATGGGCTGATGATTTATCAATACCATGCTCATACTGTGCCGGAACAACAAGATCTATACGAGGAACTGCTGCTTTTTCTTTCCTCATCCTTACTCCTATCGTCATTTTTCCTCTTCTTCTTTTGTATGTTTGTCACTCTCTGACTGCTATTTCCGGGGTGCTTTGATAGTCTAAGCAGAGAAAATTCAGGCAGGACGGCAATATCTTATTTGACGTGGGTTTTTTTAGGCCGGTGCTAGTCGCCCCATCTTGGGTGGCTAGCGTCAGGCTACTCGACTGTATTCGGTCGACTTGATACTACTGGCCCGTGGGTATTTTTGCGACTTCGGTTGGCTAGCATTTTTCTGCCCACCCAGAGCCGGTCATCTAGATCTAGTCTTAGTCTTAGCCTGTAGCATAAAAACATGAATCTTTGCCTCTGTCACTGGCCCAAAGTAGATCAGAGAGGATGTTTTTTCGCCATCTATTTGTCATCTTCAGAGGTTTCCCTCGCGAGTTGACTAGATCCCCTAGATCTATCACCCTTTATTATTTGATTATTATCATTCCTCGGAATGCCGGTGACAAAGTTACTAACAATAGAAATGCAGCGTCGTGATGTAAAATGTTATCAAAGATTGTCTAACTCTACTGCCAAGATGTTTCAATTGCCCTTCTGCCCTTCTATCTCGCATCCGAACAAGACTTGGGCGCTAGATCTACCTCGTCTTAGCACTTGACGGCCCGCGATAAGAGTGTAAACAAACGTTTCAGTACCGAGCTGAAAGCGAGAAATTTTGTCTGCGGGCAGAGAGAGAAAGAGAGAGAGGGAGGGAGAGAAAGAAAGATAATGAGAACGAGAAAGAGAGAGGGAAAGAGAGAGAGGGGGGGTTGTTATTAGAATTACTGATTCCTGTCGTTTTCCCTCTGCGTCGGGTCACAAACTGACCCGGTGCCATACAGTCATTGTTGTACACGTTATGGCCAGTCCCATTTTCTTGCCATGTTGACCGATCGGACTCTTGATTTGGAGGACAAGGATAAAGGAGTGATTGATTGACTGAATCTTCCCTGATTGATCACACGATTTCTTAAGGAGCGTGCGCAGAAGTCCCCACAGCCCAGAACACGGAACATGCGCAGAAGCCTCTGGCTAATCGATTGAATTCGTTCGCCCGGAACATGCTTAGAAATCCCCACGGGCCAGTAGCGTCAGGCCACTCGATCGAAGTCGTTCAAGTAGCAAAACGCTAGCCACCCAAGATCGGGCGACTAGCTACTCCATTTTTTAAATCTTTGTTAGACTTGGACAAGATTCAAGAAGTGATTGAAGTGTAGTTCAATTGATGGGTTGGTTTTTGATACGGATGTTTATTTATTTATCCTTTCTTTTCATTTATCTGAGCTGGAGGGGCATGTAGTAGAAGATATATTTGCTAACGGTATCAGGATTTTTTTTTTTCAGAATGCAAACATCAGTGGCAGTGAAGCTATGCCTGCAGGTTGGAATAGTGATGCCACACTGTATGCTCTCAGATACGTGGAACCAACCTCCAACAGGACTTACCTGATGAAAGCTTTGGCTATGGATGGCAATTTGATGCTTAACCTTGTTGTAAGTAGAAATATTATGAGAGGAACCTGTAAAGTACCGGTAATTTCTATGGGAATTCTGTCAAAAAGGCTGTGATGTAGTAGAAAGCCTTAAAATCCCACAAAATTAAGAATTATATCCATGGTTCTAGCAGGATTTTTCTTTTTTTCTGAGACTTCTGGTTAATGATACAAGTGCTAAATAAATAATAGGCTACTGCTGCAAGCTGATCCCCTCATAACTCAGGGCAGTCCAAGTCATTACCAGCATCTAATTCAGAAAGATCTTCCAAATAATCAGTAACTTTCTGTGTAGCAAACACTGGTTTCCATACCCCCGTTTTGCCCCAACTGTGCCGGTTTGGGGATAGGGACTCGCTCACCGGTGTACTGGTGGCCAGGCGTTGTCACAGTTTTATGACGTGCCACCTGTGTACCAATGGTAAGGACTCAAAGGGCTAATCAATTCAATAGGTTGGGTTTTTTTGGCAAATGTTTTACGGCGCTGGCAACTGCATATATATAAAGTCATATGAGCGCGCTGGACACATTAAACATTTTCAGTTGGTGGGAAATTTTGAATTTTGCCCAGGTGGCAGCCGAAGCCTACTCTTATCGATTTTAGAATACCAAGGTCTCTTTAACTTGCGCAACTTGCACTAGGGACCTCCGAGATTTTTCGCCCTTGTCTGAGAAGGCTAATTGTAGACCTTTCGTACCAGAAGATCAGGGGGTGTCGCTGAGAGACAGCAGTAAGAAGGAGCCAAGGAGTATCCGTAGAAAGGCTGCAGAAAGAGTCAGGAGCCCAGAAGAGGGGGGGGGCAGAAAGTGGAGACGAAAGCAGACGATGAAACATTGATAGAGAGCAGGAAAAGAGGTGAAAGGAGACAATTTTAGAGATGTCTTTCCCAGATTCGAACCTAGGACCTTTGAATGAGAGGCGAACCCCCCAACCTCTTGGCCACAAGAGCCCCCATCAATTTTTTATATGGACATAAAAGGGGTTGAGCCAAAGAACAAAATTTCGATAAAAAGTGCCTAACTGGTGGAGAAAATGACCGTTTCTCAGATTTCGTTATTTTGACGAACGCCTGATTTCACCCCGATGCCTCACTTATGTCATTAATGTTTCAGCGTTGCTTTGATGAGAAGGCAGCGAGTGTAACCATCAGGTCAAGAGACTATGTCAATGAGGACATGTCAACGTCATCAAGGTTTGTTTGTGTGTGCGTCTCTTATTCATTGTGTCTCCGATTCATTATGTCTCTGATTCATTGTGTCACTAATTCATTGTGTCTCTGATTCATTGTATCTCCGTTTCATTGTGTTTCTGATTTCTCCTTTTCAACTTCTCGCTGTCTTCTTGTGTACCCCCTTTTCTTCTAATCTTACAGCATATTTCAGCAAGTCAAAGTAAATATTTTAACCTGATATTTTCATTCACGTAGTATTTTTCATTTTTCGGTATGATAATAGATCAAACATTATCTGTCTAAGATTGTATGTACACACTCTATGGAACATTACAGCAACTGCAGCAAACCTGCACTTATCATTACATGGCATTGGACAGAAAGGCGAGAGCCCAGCTGTTGCTGGATCGATAACAACAACAACAATCTGTCTAAAGTTTTATATATATACAATCCCCCAACCATTTTATTGTACTTTTACAGCACTTACAGTAATTTGTCTGGACTGAACTCATCCCTCACCAACGACTTGGTCAACAAGGTGACAGGAACCGGTCCGGGTGGCACGTCACAAGGGACATCACCGCCGGCAGCTTCTACAGACCAGCAGCGACGAGATGACCATCCAGGGAGGTCACCCCTATTGGAAGACCCACGGAGGGGCCCGGGGGCAGGGGGTCTAGGATACATGCCGCCCCGCCAACCCTTCAGGTTTCCGCTGTATTATTTTGTACCAGTCAAAGAGATTTTGACCCACACTTTCCAAATATCTTTGCATCTCAGGGTGTCTTTTTTAAGAATTAATTTCTTTACCCCCACCTCTTCTCCTCTCTCTTTGTCTCTCTCTCTCTTCTTCTTCTTCTCTCTCTTTCTCTCTCTCCCTCCTCTCTTTCTCTCTCTCTCCCTCCTCTCTCTCTCCCTCTCTCTC